AAGGGCATTTAGTGTATCAGTTACATCCCGGGTTTGTGATGACTGCTGCTGGTGCTGTTGACCAGCCTTGTGTCGGTGTTAGTTTACATTTCATTTAATCCAGTGTTTGTTGTATTTATTTGTTTATTCATTATTTGTTTCTATTTATTCATTGGAACCCGAATTTTTGTGCCACTTCTTGACATTGGAGCGAGGAAAGGGCAGGAAAATGTTCAGTGCCATTTATACAACGCAGGGCTTTTTTTCTGGCTTAAAAATGTACTTGTTCTTTTTGTAAAAGGGTCCAGTCGGTCCCATATCTAGCAAAGGTACATCGGGTCTTTGTCACAGTGTTTCTTTTATCTTAATGCATTTGCAGCTTCATGCACTTTGTACCTGGATTCATATTTTTCCACTGGACTTTTTAGTACCTCATTCTGCAATTTTAGACCACCGATTCCCAGTGCTTTTACTGCAGTGAACTTATTTTGAAATATTATTTGTACTTATTTGTCTGTAGACGTTGAGTCTACTTAAGAAAGATCACCCGCTTACTGATTAGTCTCATATAAATCCACACTGTAATGGACTTTGTTAGCAAGAGGGATTATTTCACTTTCTTGCATGACAGCATGGCCCTCGTTCCTGGTTTTCTTCCTGGTTCAGCTGATGGTACCAGATGAAGGCACGTGTCCGGTTTTACCATCTTTATCTTATCCTGACTGCTCATTGGTTGCACGCAGCTTTACAGTCGTAATTAAGACGCCAGATGAGGAAGTGTCTGTTTCTTTATATTTTCTTCATCCTAAACTAGATTAAGTTGGAGGTGTAGCATGTCGTGGTTCAGCTTGCAGACCACTGCGATTTAAGATGAAGATGTTAGTGTAGATCACCATGGACGCGTGTTTGAGCTGAGAAACGGAAAACTTGAGAAGGTAAATTCTTATTTGACTATTTTTGGTTTTGTTCGGATTTGCATACATTTGAGTGAAAGTGTTACTTTTGTTTCACTTCTTAATACCAGCACTTTTAGCAGCTGTTAAAGAGGTCTGTAAGTCACCTGGTTTTTACGCTCAAGGCCAAACGAGGTGACTTTCAGGAACAAAGAGGAGGCCCAATAAACAATGATTCAGTGGATTCTGGAGTATCATGCAACAAGTAAAGAGGAAGAAACCTCAAAAGTCACAACAGCCTGACCGCTGAGCTAAATCAGCTTCTCTGATTGCGGCTTTGAAATGCAGAAATGCCGCCGAGACGAAATCTCTGCCGTAAATTCCCGCTCCTTCTGTAAAACTCACGATGCGCTGCGCATGTCGTGCTCATGAAGTCAACGGCTCTTGTGCGAGCATCCCCTTTAAACTGTGAACTGCGGCTGCATCTTCGTTGCATCTTTAAGCGCAGTCGCTTTAACGAGAAGAAGATGCAGCTGTATACGATATTTATTGTGTCGCTCGGGTTGCATTGATGAAAGACAAAGCAAGCAAACATTCAGACAGTACAAGGCTGAAGCCTTGTTTAGCTTTGTGGTGATGAGTAATTGAAGAGCGCGAGGAGATAAACAGACACGTGTTCAGAGGAGAGCAGACTGTAAAAAGGCCTAAGCTCAACATTTCTTCATTGACTCTGAATCTTAAGCTCATTCACACTGCTTTTAAATTCAAGGCTTTACGCCAGTATGAGCAGCGCTACATGCAGTTAACTACCATTTTATTCATTCTGGTTTTCACGGCTGTTTCAAAGTGAGCACAAAGAACAGTAATGATCACACTGAAGACTCTCTTGTCCCTGCTCGTGCACAGCACAAAGAACGACTCTTCCCCCCCTAAACTTTTTGCACAAAAAAATTGAGTCAGTTAGTCTTTGTCGCAGCTGAGCTATAAATTCTCCCTGCTTAAGCAGTCATTCTCCGGCTCTATTTTTCTCCCCTTTCAATTAATAGGAAACACATCGGTTGAAGGAGGGTCTTTGTTGGTGCGTGAGAGTCCATACATCACCTAAACTAGAGCGCTCACCCCTCCTCCTCCTCCTCCTCCTGTCTCCTGCCTGCTAACACACATGCACACACCGACAGCCTCCATCTGCTCCCAATCATGGGTGCAGCCAGCGGTCAGGTCGCTGATGGTGAATGGCATATAGGCACATAACACACACGTAAACATACACAGTGTAACAAACTGCTTTAAAATTACATTTTGTTCCGCAATTCACAGTTTTTGTGTGAGTATAACCAAGTAGTACAAAAGCTGATTACTCTGAGGTGCTTTTTTTCCCCTAATTTTTGATTCTGTCGTAACTCATCTGCACAAAATTATATTGAATCAAGTCCAGCTGTCTTATTTAGCACGCAACATAAAGAAGGTGAGCAAACAGTCAGTGTTCAAGTGAAAATCTTAAATTTAGAAGTATTCTGATGGTTGTGTTTTGAATAATTGCTCAAGGTGTGGCTAGCATGGGGCCACCATCTGTCCATCAATAATCCTGAGGGGGTTGCACTATCTAATACAACATCTTTAAGGTCTTTAATGTACCCGGGAGCGTTTCCAGTTGGACGGGGGCTGGAGAGGTATTTTCACCCACCCCAGACACGGTCCCGTACAGTTCTCCTAGATCCTGACTGTGCACCGGTAGAAACAGATGATGTAAGCATCTGTCTAATGTTGATTGGTTGACAAGTGGGCTGGAATAGAGAAGGAGAGGTGACAAAAACACTCAATAAATAAAGATCAATAAATATAGTATATAAAGTTCAAGCACCGACTGCAGAGGATGCTTTTCATTGTTTGTAACACTCTGTATGGCTTCGCTCTTCTGCGTGGCTGGCAGACAGACCAATCACAGCGCAAGAAAGAGTGGTCCACAGACTGCTTGCACCACATATTTTCTACACTGCCTCCATCTGACAACAGAACTCTCTGCAGGCAGACGGGCCGTCCCCGGACAACTAACCCGCTACCTGTGCTGGAACGTAAATCCTGCTTTAGAGACACAGTCCATCAGACATAAGAAAAAGACAAATTAGTTAGCGCAGGAATATACATCAGAACGCTGAAGTGCAAACAAAATGCAAAGTGTGTGCGTGTTAGCGATCTAACACGCACACACTGACGATCTGATGAATGCACTGGGGCCAACTCAGGGTTCCATATCTTACCCGAGGATACTTTGGTATGCAGAGTGGAGCCAACCTTCGTAGATGTTGATGGTTGACCTGTAGATGACCATAGATGAAGGTCACTGATCGTAACTTTCTTCGTTATCCATATTTAACTGAGAAAGTTAAATATGGCTAACAGGCTTTCTCCCACAGAAACATATTACACGTCATGTAACATGTCATGTTAGATTATTTAGTCATTTAAAAATTGGCTGTAGGTGTGAATTTAAGGGTGAATGGTTTCCTGCCTCTCTGTTTTTGCCATGCCACCCGTCGATAGTGTTCCCAGCATGTGTCAGCTAGGATAGGCTAGCTGGTTCAGAAAATGATGGATGGATTCTTTGACTTAATATTGCGTAACATGAAGAAATATTTCATATGGTTTTTGCAAATCTTCTTGCTGTTGCCTAATATGCTGTTTTTAAATCTACATTTGTCTCCTGAAAGACTCAGTTTTTCAGCACAACAGCTCATGAAAACCTTTTTTTCTCGATTCCAAAGCCTGTTGTTAGTGCATTCCACCGATCTCTGCTTTAAGGCATTTATCAGCTTTTGATGGCAATAAAAAAACTTTCTATTATAGAAGGATGACTAGAAAAATTAATTCGGGAGCTCATTTTGCTGCTGTTCAGTGCTCTATAGATAATAAATCTAAAGTAATTATATTTTAAAATAAAATGTTGATGAAATTTACAGTAGAAATACTTAACAATATATTAAGACTGAAACACTTGCAATAAACCATACGTTACATTTTTTGCATTTGTTTTATAGGAAGAAGAACAGCAGGCAAAAACGGTAAAATAACAGTTAAAGCCTGGTAGACGTGAGATTAACAATAGAATCACACAGACGCACTCAAACTGAACTCAGAGACTCCGACGTGACGCTCTCATCATTCATTTAATAAAAATGAAAGTAAACCTACTTTCTGTCTCTCACACACACAGACCCACACATGTGCTGAGGTACAGGGACAGAAGAACATGAGCCAGCCTTGTGGTGTGCTTCACCGATGACAGGGTGTCATGGAAACGCCCAGCGTTCCCCATGGTTACGCACTGTTTACCCCTACGGGATACTCTTCTTGGATTGTTCAGACGCTGAACACTTGAGCTTCTACAACAACTCATGGCCAAAGAACACACACAGACACACACACAGTGTTTCTTATCAGGATCTAAATGGACACAAATTAGCCTATTATGTGCTTTTGGGATTAGCGCAGTGATTTTAGCCTAATAGTCTGTTTTTGTGCTCTTACTCCAAGTCCCTACGCCACAGTGGATATTTGCCAATAAAGGCTTGGTGTTTATATCCAGTTGTGTTTTTGAAGTATTCATTCAGAGGGAAAGATGTGGAAGCACTTCACTTTGTCTTCTTTTTTAAAAAAAAACTTGGGTGGCTGAATTGTGGATCACATGCTGTCTTCACTTTCAGGTTTCAGCTCTTTGGCTTCCTGTAAAACTTGTGTCTCAACATCCCTTTTTGTGTGTGTGTGTGTGTGTGTGTGTGTGTGTGTGTGTGTGTGTGTGTGTGTGTGTGTGTGTGTATTTGGTCAGGTTGTGGGAGAGGTCTGCATGTTAATGCAAATGCACAGGAGCCATGATGTGTTTGCTCTGTACGTGTGCAGCCGTAATGAAGACAAAAGCACATAGCGAGGCTGGGCTCCCTCGCAGTTTCTTCTCCTCATTAAGACGTTAATGGTGCTTCCTGTGCATGTGTCTTCAGGCTGCTGATTAATAATGCTGCTTGTTATTCATTAATATTGCCCTAATGAACATGCACTGTTGAGCATGATTGTTAAACTTTTTTGCGTGTGTGTGTATGTGTGTGTGTGTGTGTTTGTTTTTTCTTTTCTCTCCAGACTCCATTGATCAGCCCACATAGGACCGCGCCCCCAAAGCGAGGGGAGGGGGGACCTGATCGTCCATCATCTTGGCGCCGTCGAAAGGTGAGCTAACATCCCGCACGGTTGGCATGGTAACGGCCTCCTGAGTTCAGGTTGAACGGTTTGTCAGAGACAGTTTCTTGTTGTTGCCACACTCTTGCAACATCCTCCTGACCTGAACGCTGAAATGCAGAGAAAAGTGTGTGTGTGTCTGTTTTTGAGGCAAATATTTTATGGAGGTGGGGGGGGTTTTTGTTGTTTTTTTTAGTGCGTGTGTGTGGTTGAATTTTGGAAGGTGGAATAGTTTACGAAAAAAGACCGGTAGTGGCGGTAGCAACAAGGGAAACAAAGAGGGCTGCGAACGATTTTCAGGGAGATGAGAAAATGAAGAGTGGGAAGACAGCAGGGAGACAGGAGGAGAAATCAAATTATTCTTTGTGCTCTACCTGCCACGGAGGCTGAAAGAGAGCATTAATCTTTTACCCCTGTCTGCAGGTGACGACAACACACACACTCGCGAACACATAAGTGTACCCACACTTAACCAAACCACAGTCTCTCTTTCGTTCACGTGAATTCTCACACGCATGTTTTTTTGCAAACTCGCTGCTGTTGCACTTATAGCAGCAGTGATTGTGTGAGGAGTGAGGTTGGTAAGAAAGGGGAGGAAGGAGAGTCCAGGCCATAGGAGGGGAGACACTCAGTCTAAAGCAGAAGAAAATAGGAGGGATAAGAATGAGGTGAGGCAAGGATACTTCCAGGAATCTTCCACAGTGAGTTAAGGTGAAGGCTTTGTTGATTTCTCTGCATAAATGTCAGGTGATGGGTTGTTGAGGCACTTCAGGGTTTTGGATGAGCAGAAAACTCATTGAATCAATAGAAAAATAAAAATAAAAAACTTGATCTTTAATTACAAAGGTATTATCTAAACCCATTTACACATTCAGCAGTGTACTTTTAGACTGAGGCTCCATTTTGGTTCATTTTCATGTGCATTTTTTTTACAATTAAACAGATTCAACTATTACATGGTTGAGGCACGTGGGTACAATTGTTTGTAACACACACAGTAGAACTTCAAGGATTAATTGAATGATTTGCTAATTTCTTAAGCAGAGGTGCTGGACTTTTTTGATTTATCTTTATCAATCCTTTGATATCCTACTTTGATATCATCATAGTATCTCTGAATCTGCTTGCCCCTGATCAGACACACAGATCTGTAAATTTTGGGTACCTCCACTCAAGAAATGATTGACAGCTGTCTTTCCGCTTGTGGATAACCTTTCTGTGACTTACCCTCTTAATTCCTGTGGAACCAGGAAAGCAGGTTTTATACTTTACACATCCGGGAGTCCGCTTGGCTCTCTGTGATGTAAATTTTGCCGTTGCCTAGTCAGTGTGAGGGTCCACGCAAAAGTCTGCACACCGCTCTGTTTCTTGTGATCACAAGGACTTGTTTGTAGAGAAATTACATTATAATGCACCAACTATGCATGCACGTGAGAGCAGACTTCAAGCAAACTTTAAGGAAGTATAACAGGCATGACTACTCGGTTGTCCATGTCCACAACCAAGTATAATCCAGGTTTAAAGGTGTATGTAGTTTTTCACACAATGCTTCAGTATTTTGTCTTAGTTTTTGTTAAATAACTTACACTGTGTCATTTAAGGACCAGGTCTTTTTTATTATTAGGATAAACCAGAAGACAGTCTTTGCAACTTGTGCGAGTAGTTGAAGCAGCTTGTCGTGCTGCTGGTGTGAGTTTACACGGCCAGACATGGGCCGTGTGCCTCTGTTTTGTCAACAGAGATTATAAAAGACTGGCAGGCGGGGGAGGTGACAGCAGGGCTATTTGCATCACCCAGGCTGAGCATGCCTGCTCCTCTAACTCTGTCACCTTCTCTCTCCCTTTTCTCTGTCCCTTCCTGTCTGCTCCACCCTTTTGTCGCCAGCAACAAGCACTCTGGCTAGACCGCCCTGTCGCCACGGTCTTATCGCCTCCAATCAGGAAAAAATGGAAAGAGAGATGTTCAAACAAACTCAAGGAAAGCTTGATAGCAGGCAGCGCCACAGATCTGTTATCTCATTTGAGAGATGACAAATGAATTAGTTTCTAGATAAACTGAAAGATTAACCATGAGGCTTTTTGTGCACAGCAAACAATAAAAGTTTCTAATGGAGCCTGCACGTTGACTGAATCCACACAGGGGAAACCCAAGATATTTATTATGATGTTTAGATGGGAATAATCCCACCTGTCTACAGATGATGTACAACACAGATTGGTGATAGATTGAGGTTGTATTTGCTGTTGCTAATCTTTTCCCATTCGCTTGGCGCCTACCCCCACTAACTCTTTCCGACTCATTCTTGTTTGTTGCACCTTTTTTCCCCCCACTGCTGTGACTCATTGTGTTGTGGGAGGTCTGTCGACTCTCCACTTTGTTTGCTATTTTCCCAAACCTAATTCAGTTTTTCTCTGCTGTTCATCCATTTTAATCTGGCGTCAGCGAGTGTTACTCATCAGTAATATTGAAGTGATGCTCATCTTATTGGAAATAATTTTATTGTTTCCACCAAAGTGCAAGAACACACACTCACGCAGTCCAAAAATGTGACTGAGCGGGAGCAGTGTTTGGTTAGTGTAGTTATTGAGGGATGGATGGATGAGATACTGTTTAGTCTTACTGACCACTTTAAGCACTTGAACACTACACCACATTCACACATATACATACAACACTTCATTCTGTGCATCTACAGTTGTGGTCAGAAGTTTGCATACAGTCATCATCATGGGCGTGACTGTCACTGTGATTTTAGGCTTTTAATTATTTCTTTGAACTGTTCTTTTTCCAGGGTGGAATCACAGTACAGCATGAATCCTTGATTAATAAAAAAAAACAAGAATTGTGTGCGCAAGTTTGAATTTATTTTGGATTTTCTCTAACAAACACAGGGTCAAAAGTACACATGCAGATTCAAATATGTGCATACACCACCACTGATAGTTGGTTAAATGTCCCGGAGCAAGTTGGTCACCATCAACAAGCTTCTGCCATGATTGTGGCTGAATCGCCTTTCTTGGCAGAATTAGTAGAGTTCCTTTAAATTGGTTGTTCCTTGCGGAGATCCAGCTTTTAAGAGTAGTCCACAAATTTTCTGCAGGTTTAAGTTCAGGACTTCGGGAAGGCTATTCTAAAAGTTTAATGTTAGCTTGCTTTATCTATTCCAAAACCAGTTTTGATGTGTGTTTGGGATCATTGTCCCCTTTGAACACTCAATTATATCCCACTTTCAACTGAAGCTTTTGATTTGAGGAAAGATTGAAGAATTTTGAGGTAGTCCTCCTTCTTCATCATTTCATTCACTTTGTGCAGTACACCAGTGATGCTACCACCACCATGCAAAGCCTCACTTTTAGTCCACCAAACTTCTTGTGATTGTGACAAGTAACTCAATCTTTGTCTCATGTGAAGATTTCTCTCCAGAAGGCATTTGGCTTGCCCATGTAGGTGTCGATTTTGGAGCAGGGAGTTTTTTCTTGGTCGGCACCCTCTCAGTCCATGGCAGCGTAAAACTCCCTTCATGCTGGGTGGTTCTTGGGTTCTTCCTGAACATCTTAATCAGTTCCCTTTTTATCTGAGGATGACAAAATTGGGTCTTCTTCCAGACGTTGAAAAAGCCTATGTTAACTTCTGACCACAACTGTATCTTGGTATCTTGCGTGGAGGGCAATTAGAGGCTCAGTATTTCCACATGCAGATCAGGGTAGTCAGGGATGGAAGCACGACAGTCCAATTATTAGACAACCTGAGCCCTGAGCCGCAGCTGCCATTGGGTCTTAAAAATTAAGGTGATTCATCTGTGGAAACCATGATTGTGCTCAATAATTGTCTAGAATCTGTGCTTTTCAGACGTGTGTCTTCAAAGTAAATGTTATAGCAGTTTGAAATGTTCATATCTAAAGCCGAGTTACATTACTTTTGCAGTCTTATTTGTTTACCTCAGAGCTTTTTGTCATTGGATTAAAGAAAATGTTTAGACAAAAGTTTAAAACATGTTTGGTTTTTATTATTCATATAGCCAATACTACAAGTACAATACAATACAATACTAAAAGTATCATCTCCGTAGCTCAAATCAAAACATGATGTACGTATGAGAGATTCGTATCATGGCCAGCTTCTGGAACAAATTGGAATGGTAATATTTGCTGTTTGCCAAATTTAGGTTGCTTGTGTTGGTTTCCTTGTGATAGTTTTTAATACTGTTTGCTAACTTCTTGGCTAATGCTAACTGAATGCAGAGACAACAGGATTGGTCAGTTGCAATGTGGACCAACGTTGTCATGATTTACTAGGAGCAACACAAAGCACGGGGAAATCACATCGTGCTTCACCGTAGCCCTGAACTTGCTTATACCTTACCTGATAGAGGTTGCTTGTGAGAAAGCACCATCACATCAGGCAGCTTCCTTCCAGGCACCACCCCTCCTCTTAACCACAAAGTGTGAGGACACATGAAATAGATTAATGCCCTGTCCTTATGCTCTGACTTGATTCTCCCTCTGGGCGCCATGAACATCTTGTGTCAGTTCATTAGTAAATCCTCTACTGTCTGCTTTTATAGCCAGGAGACAAAAGCAGTATGTGGTTTTTGTTTGTCTTCTGATCCAGTCTCTGCCTACCATCCTAACTAAGATTATGACATTGGCATCATATGTGCAAGAGATAAAAATAGTAGCAACAACAAAGAACCCCAAAAGGTGCCTCTAAAGGATGTATAAAGCCCACAAACTGCAGAAGTAAATTTGTTCCACCTAGTATTTGGTCCATCACCGTAATAGAACGACTCCATTTCTCCGTGGAGTTTCTTGTCCATCATCCATCTTTTTTTCTCTTTTCTGCAGGGCTTGCGTTAAAAAAAAATCTAGTAAACTCTCATTAATGTCAATTTGTGTTCAGAACTCATGAGAATGAGTAGGAACGTGTTCATCGTGGGATTTTGACAGTTGCCTAGCAATACTGCTTTGATTGTAGCTTACCCATCAGTCAGTGCGGTGTCTGTATTTTCTCCATAATGAATAATGTATTTCTTTCTTCCTGCCAAGACTAAAAAATCTGTTCTTTAGGTCTTTTCCAAAGTTAAGGGGGATATTTTGAAAGCAACATTGTGTGTGAATTAGATCCCTCACTAGTCAACAGGACTGTATGCTTTCTGTTTTATGAGGTGAGCCATTTCCTCTGGTTTTGCCATAAAGCCATAAACTTTGTGGTTCCTGGTGAGTCGTGCTCCCACTGGGCTCCGGGATCCAGGGTCATTGGCATGCTACTGTCCTTTAGCAGACCTCAGAAGTTTAGCTTCACCCTAAGTGACACCACAGCTGACCTGAACGATCCTCCTGCCTCATTCGCCCATTGACCCAAATAATATATGGGTCAGCTGCCAGCATGAAGGTGATGGCCTCTTGGAATCACTCAGTTCAAGATCAGGGTTGAGTATCAGGTCAAACTTAATATCAAAGTTCAGAGCTGCTTGCCTGCATGAGTCCTCTAACCTTCACCTGTCATCAAACGAGGAGACTTTCCCATGACCAGTCAGATGGGAACTAAAGCCAGTGCTGTTTCATAACCTCTCTGCAGGCATAGTGAGAACATACAAATTTCTTATGAAGTCTAACTTGGATTTCTGCTCTTATTTTACTTCCCAGTGTCCTTTAACCTCATCATTTGAGGTATATAAGAATACATTTGTGTTACTGTTTCTCTAACCCTGTAACTCCAAGCGTAGAATGTTTGACTTTTTGAGACCTCTAGATCACCGGTGCAAATTACACAACAATCCCGGACAAATTAAAACTTATACATACAAACTGATACTTAATTTCTTTTTTAGACACACCAAAAAGCTCAATAAACACTCCACTTTCGAAAAATTAGAATTCTTTATGAATTTGCTCATGATTCAGGCTTTAGGGGGCTAACCAGCGGATGTATGGTTAGAAAAGAAATGTACAGTATGCTGTCCAGTCACATCAGAGAGCAACGGCTACCACACGTATGCCTTTGTTTTGGATATAGTCGATTTATACAGTGAGATTCACAAGTGAAAATAAGAAATGGAAAAAATGGGGCTTGAGGCAGAAGAAAGATGTTGACTGCTTTTTTTTTTGCACAGTTGGACAGTGGCTGGACGAAGTGGGTGTAAAGTGTCAGATCTTGTGTTACATAAATTCTCATTGATGATACCGGAAATTGGTGGGGGCTTTCTGAAGCTGTTCGACCATCCTACAAAAATTTCTAAAGGAGTATGCCAGTCTCTTAACACCTCTAACATGAGCGCATTGTAGTATCGTAGGACACAAGTCACACCTGGATTAGGAACAAAGATCCCAGCATGATTTTGTGTTGGGTAGTCCGTACGCTGAGCTTTGCATGCCCCTGTCTACATGTTGTACCTGTGCACTGTCACCTGGAGGCAGTGTCAAAAGACAGTGTTAGCACTTACTGCCGAGGAGTTGGAACTTATAACATTGGAGTAAAACAAACTGTTGACACCTGCTGTTTGTTGTGATTCTGTCTCTACTTTTTTCCTAACTTCTTTATCCTAGTCGTAACCTCTGTTGCGGTTTCCTTTCCTTTTCAAACCAACTTTTTAACCAATTTCTTTTGGTTTCTTTTAGTTTTTTGGGGGAGATTGCATTTAAATGCATTTCTGTGACTGTGAATCGGGCTTTAAATAATTGCCTGCATGCATGAAGCAGTTGGTTTGTGAAATGTGGTTATTGTACACTCGCTGTGAGTGTAAATGACCAGTGCTGTTTTCTGCCACAACTCGACCGACTCAATCGTGTCTTCTTAAGATAAGATTATAAGATCCTAGTATGGATGATTTGACTATTGTTAGTTTTTTGAACATTTGTAAGTTTTACTAACAAATGTGCTTTGCGACTGTGTGTTTTGGGGTTTTTCCTGCCAAAATTTCTCTTTCATTTCCCAAAACAATATCCTCTTAATTTCCACAGTTTTTGTTCCAGTTTCTCTAATACTCTCATTCAAACTGCACATTAACCCAGGTGCAGGGAAGCTAGTTTGCAGTATGTTTTTTGCTCTGCACACTCCCTTTCACATCTCCAGTATCCCTACGTCTCCTTCAAATTGCCGTCTTCATGCCCATCTCTCCATTCCCTCTTGCTGCCCTCAATAACACCATCATCCTCCATTTCCTTCTTTACGTGGCTCATTCCCACTGCCCCCTGCTGCTGTATTGTACCCACCGCAGCCCCGCTGCCTCTCTGCCACCAGGCCCCACACTGCCTGTGGCGTGTAATTGACTTTCTCCCCGCACTGGAAAAGCGGGCGGCCCGCGCCAGGCTGGAGGTGACCCATTTCCCTGGGGCATTCAGCAGGCTCCTAATCAACTATTCTCTGGGGCTGCCTCATTCACTCTGCAATTAGAGCAACTCCCCCTTTGAGAACTCCATCAATAGGCTGGCAGTCAGGCAGGCGGACGGGCGGGTTTGGTTGGTGTAGGAGCAAAGAAGGAGTTTCACCCGAACACTTTGTCTTGGCTCTTTGAGTTCTGAAACCTCCTTACTTTGTACTTCCCCCTCTCGCTGCTTTTAGCTTCTTCTGCTCCTCATCTCCCTCGTGGTAGGTTTCATCAGACAACAGCAAGCGGGGGTTTTGTCTAACGAAGAGCAGCAGACAGGGAGGCAGGTAGACGGGCACGCAGGGAGGCAGATCGTAGGATAGGCAAGAAGAGGTAGGCAAGCAGACAAAGGCACTAAGGCAGACAGTCAGTCAGTTAGACGGGAGGGACTCGAGGGAGAGATTAAAAGAGAAATTTGAAAGAGGGAAGGATTGAGCAAGAGTATCTGTGAGATTTCAGAGCATCTCATGCTTTTAGGAGAGTATTCCCAGTTGTTGTCTTGCAAGAGAATACACTTGTGGTTCACCTGGTCTTGCAGACATGCGTGAAAGCAGTCCTCATATTGATTCTGTCTCAGTAGGAAGGTGTGTTCTCGTTCTCGCAAGCCAAGTTCACACGACTGAAGACTGGGACCTTCTCTGTCCTGAAACCGAAAAATAAAAAGGCAACACAATCAGATGCTTTTGCTCCGATCCCACCAGAGATCATGGCGCATGATGATTAAATAACAGGCCGGCGTCTCTCCCCTGCCGCTGGCCTGATTTTCTATGCAGGAGAGGCAGTGCTCTGGTCAGAGGATAACCATGTAATCAATGGAATGAAAAAGCTGCTCTGGCTGTGAAGGTTAAGAGGGGTACAGGCGGTTTTCAGCCCACTCTGTGTGCCACACATGCATTCAAAACACACTCCAGACTGTCTGAATGTTACTGAATCCTCCTCCTTTCACCTGTTCCCCTTCCCTCCTGTCTTTCTTTGACATGCCTTTATCTCTCTTTCTCTCAGCTCGCTCCCTCCTACTGCCGCCACCTCTTTTTGCTCTGATTTCTCCCCCCCTCATCCTTGTTTTTTTTTCCTTCCTCTGCAATTCCTCTGTCTCCCACTATATTTGTGCTCTCTCCCCTTCATTTACTTTCCTCTCTTCCCTCCCTCTATCCTCCTTTCCCCTCCCTCCCTCCTACCTTTCCCCAGTGTCAGCTGCTGTCACTGTGGCAAAGAAAATGACCAATCAGAGCTCACATCACTGCACCGGCTTCTCCCTCCCTTCCTCATTTCTTCCTTTCCTTCCCTCTATTCCCTTCTCTTCCTCCTCCTCCTCAGCCTCCTCCTCCTCCTCCTCTTCGGCCCATCTGCCTCTCATCCCCGCAACCTTTATCAGCTCACTTCCTGGAGACGAAATGTGATGCATTATGGGAGACAGACGGCTGTCTAACGGGGTTAGTTGTGTTGCGTGGCTTATCATCAGAGACACTGCTAATCCTGTGTCTTTGTGTGTATGTGTGTGCATGCCCGTGTGGATACTCCATGCGAGCTGATGAACTCATACATGCACAGCCACACACACACACACACACACACACACACGCACACATACGCACACACACGCACACACACACACAGCCTCAGATGCTTACGCTCATATTCTCCAAATAAGAAGAGGAGGAGGAGGAGGCGGCCGACGAGACATGTTTATGTTTGTCAGTCTCTGCAAGGAGAATACGATTTGCATGATATAAGCATATTTTAGTCTGCTTGTGTACTGTTTTGCACTTTATTCATTTACAACCTGCCTTTATTATTTTTGCTGAGTTCAAAAGGATGCTTGCCATGCCTTCCTGCCTTCACAATTACCTTTATAATGAGAGCTAAAAGGCTAAGAGGGGACTGTGTAATCACTTCACTCAATGCATTAAAGTTTTATTTACACCTCTGTGTGTGTGTGTGTGTTTTTATGCTCTTTTTCTATCAGGTGCTGATATGTGTTCACGATGAGCGGGCTGGGGGAAAACTCCATGGAGCCTCTGAGCTCGGAAAACCGGAAACGCAAGCTTTCCACTTGTGACACGCCTGGTATGGGGTGAGTGTGTGGGATCAGCAAACAAGAGGGGAAATGCAGGAAAGTGGGCTACTGGGTCAATGTCTTCTTGAGCTCTGGCTGTACAGCTATTATGTCGATGTCTGCCGTGATGAGTAACAGTGAAACCCTGCAAAAAAATTTTTAGTAGTTTTGATTGGAAAAATTCTTTTATTTCCTCTTTGTACTTTACGCTCTGAAAATTAGAAGGTAAAGCCATTTTCACCTGGTTGGAACGCAAGAAATAAAAAGTGCCTGTGTACTAACTTTGTTTTAGTCATGTGTTTTTATTCCAGTTAGGTCTTCATCAGGACAAACACATTAAATTGACCATTGCCACGTTAATGTGTGTAGACTCAATTTTGTGTTATTGATGCTTATTTCCACTGGCCTTTCACCCTACGTTTGATGATCTTTCTCCACATTTTCTGTCTCTGTCTCCACTGCAGCTGAAAAATAAAGGCAAATATGATCCAAAAATACTAGAAGTGGTATTGATCTACTCTTCTAAGTCTTGCCGGGAAAGGTGACCGTACTGCAAGCTTTTTAAAAAAAAAAGAAAGTAATGTCCAGTTAGCCGTATCAGCAAATGACTAACTCGTAAGATAGCCATTGTTCTCAACCTTCAATACAACCACTGCTGACATTTCAACTAGTCATTTTTTGCGGCACAAAGAAGACATCGGTCTCACAAATAAACTGCTTGCCATCTACCTCGCAGCCACTCTGCATTGTTTTCTGACATAGAAACAGCACTTTGATCACACTTTGAGAAAAGTGCATCGCTGTAGTTTAGCTTTAATCTTTGTTTATTGCCCCCCTGCAGGTGTGAGAGGAAGCGGCGGGAGCAGGAGAGCAAATACATAGAGGAACTGGCGGAGCTGATCTCCGCCAACCTAAGCGACATCGACAGCTTCAATGTCAAACCAGACAAATGTGCCATCCTCAAAGAGACGGTGCGCCAGATCCGCCAGATCAAAGAGCAGGGTGAGTGGGCACGGTGATCTGAAGGCTACTGAGGGGCAGTAAACGGACAGGTGCCCTGAAAGTTAGGTAGACTGCAAGGAAGTGTCTGTAGGAAACACTGGGAAAGGTGTTATGGTGCTATAGCGGCGGTATGGACAGCTGCAGGGTTAGCATGTACGCACGCACATGCACACGCGTGCCTCTTCTGAGCCCAGGTGCAAGGACAGATCAGTCATTCATCTCCCACAAATTTCACAGCCCCGACTGTTTATGTTTGGGAGGAAACACTGGCAATGCTTTGTGAACCTGTCATTTCCGAGTGTGTGTGTGTCTGTAATATTGCCATGCACAGCTGTGTGCTGGCCTTGCCAGGGGCTGTTTAATTGGACGTTTGCAGGTAATCACATGCCCATCCGTTCTGCTGAACTGCCAAATTATTAGTTCAGTTACATCTGCTCTTGTCATAGTTGTCATAGTTTCATCTCCGTGATGCGGCGGTCATTTCTGCAGCAAACCATCTAGAAAGCTGCAGGCTGAAGCGTTTGCCTTGCAGAGGCACCATCAGTGCACAGACTGACAGATTTAAACTCCTGGAATCGGACGTGTGTCAGGATCAATTTTTCCTTCCAAGGTGAACTTCAGGGAGATCAGGGGGAAGAGCCGGTGGTGAAATTTTGTTCCTTCTTGTTTCTGCTCGGCTCAGTCAGTGTCTGCCACCTCGACAGGAAGGGGAAGAGGCTACAGCTGGCCCTGACTGGCTGCTGACAGGTTGCCATAGTTACAGGAAGTGAAGACAGAAATGACACGGGTGTTTAGACTCGTCTCTCGCTTTCTACCTGTTCCTCTTCTCCTCTTCTCACTTTCAGTTGGTCTTACTGCCAGTCTTCATTTTGCTCTTTTCTCCATCAATCATTCCCGTTTTCTCATCTCACTTGGATGTAAGATTCTCTGCTTTTGCTTCACTTCTGCTCTCCTGCTTTTTTTTTCTTCCCTCCTCATGTCTCATCTGTATTGCAGCACAATGAGTTGCAGCATCTTCAGGTTTGCTCCCAGCATCTTAAGATATTGAATGAACTGATAGAGCGCAGCCTCTCTCTTTCTGTTTCATTCTCTCTCCTCTTCCTTTCCCTCATTTCTTTTCGTCCTTCTCTTCCTAACTTCGCAGCGCCCGGCTGCAGGCAGCAATGGCTTTTTTTTTTTCTTTGTGTGGGTATCAGTGCCCCTTGGGAGCTAATCAGATAGAATGATTCCTGTAGCCAAGCAGCCCCCGCCTCTTTCTCAGACCGAGCTCTGCATTAATACAACGAGCCAACACAATCCATTTTTCCCATCCACATCTCTCTGTCTCAGCCCCGGACCTCCCCATCTCCATCTTTCTCTCCGTCTGTGTTTCCCGCTCTCAGCCTCAGCACCTCCATTAATTCAGGTGTCTTAGCTCCTACCCCTGCACCATTACAGCTTCCAGATCCTCTCTAGCTCTCTCCCGCTCGCTCTCTCTCTCAGCCCCAGCCTACCAGCCAGTCCCTCACAGTCTGACACTGAATATAAAGCATGAGGACGGCAGCTACCTGCTCCACATGCACCCAGCCCTCCTCTCCTCCTGACGGGCTCCTCAGAGAAACCTGCCTCTATCCGTCTCCCTCCTCACCTGTATTTTTAAATAAAAAAAAAAAAAAAAGTGAAACTTGAGAAACGCTGCCCCCTGCTGATGCAGATTGGGTAGTGATGGACTGGCTGCTTCTTCTCAGGTAACATAGCTCTCACCTTGTTTCTCCTTTGCTCTTTTTTTCTTCTTCTTTGAAAACAGCTGGGTTTGAACTGACTGTGTGTGATGTCATCGATTTATTTATTTCTTGTTGTGATTCATTTCCTCTCCTCCAGGTAAAGCTTCATCCAACGATGACGACGTTCAAAAGTCAGACGTGTCCTCAACTGGTCAGGGGGTCATCGACAAGGACCACCTGGGTCCACTTCTGCTGCAGGTGAGCCCAGCTCTCCTCCCCTGTCAATCACGTGCTTTTTATCAATGCTTACGATTGGCCACCTGGCCGTTGGTAACTTCCGGCCGCTCTGCTCCAGGCTCTGGATGGCTTCCTGTTCGTGGTAAACCGGGAGGGCAGCATCGTGTTCGTGTCGGACAACGTGACGCAGTACCTGCAGTACAAACAGGAGGAGCTCATCAACACCAGCGTGTACAACATTCTTCACGAGGACGACAGGGAGGAGTTTCACAAGAACCTGCCCAAGACCAACAGTGAGGAACACGCACACACACAAGCCTACACATCTCAATACACACACACACACACACACACACACTGCAAAGCTACACATCTGCTCAAAAGCAAACCCTGCTTGACATCTTCCACAGGGCCGAGGTATAAAACTAACTTTGAGAGGTTACAACAACTCTCCGCACACGTCAACGTAAACTCTCAAAGTTATTTATTCTTGCACCTCCGGTCTTTACTCCATCTCCTGTTATAATGAGGAGCTCCTGGGAAGCGTGTTCATGTGCATAGGAGCAATTCAGAAACACATGCACGCATACACACACACACACACACCTGACAAAACATACATGTGCACAGGAGCACCCACCCACTCGGTGCTAAGCAGGCAGAGCGTAGCACGGCTGTCAGTCACACTCAGTGGTCCAGACAGTGTAAAACAGGCCCGAGCTCTATTCAGATCCCATGGCAGCCATCTGGAAACTACGTACTGCTGAATAATGCACCTCCTCACTTTCCTCTACTTAATTCCCTGTGTTTGCATGCACGTATGTGTGTCTTATTGTCAGTTGTGGAGCAAGCACTCAAAACTTATACTCAGCTAAAAGTAGTACCACCACACCCTAAAAATACTCCATTCGAAGTATGGGAAATCTTTCTACTTTTAGTATTTGTGTACAACCAGAGTAATGTAAGTACCCTCTGTTAGGGCTAAGTATCATTTTATTGTTGTGTAGTTGGATGAGGTGAGGCTAATTCTTTAATACCGGAGTGCAAATGATGATTGCTCCTATTATGAATTCATCTCCTGGTTATTTTGGTGTTGTTATCTAAAAAAATTCTAAAAATGATAAGAAGTGATCGTCACGATAAGTGGTGCTTTCAGACTCGGTGGCTCAAAATTATTAAAAAATAAACTCAAATAAAGCGTGTCTCCAAGAAATAGCTAAACAGGAAAGAGTTAAGCGCAGTACTCGAGCAAATGTTGCTTTCTCCGACTGCTTATTGTGTATTTTCACACGTCTATGTCAGTAATCCACTCGTCAGGGTGCCGTGTGTGTGTGTGTGCGCGCGCGTATGTGAGCATGTGCGTGGAGAACTATTTATAAAGCTGATTAATTATGGATATGTGTGCTCGACTGAACCTGCTACTCGATTAACTAAGCAGCAGCAACCTCCGAGCAGCAGTGGTGGCGGCGGCTCCGACATGTCACTGACACGTTCTCCCACTTATTCTGCCTCTTCCCCTGCACACTCCTTTATTCACTTGCTCTCTTTATCTTTTAACACTCATCTTTATCTACTTTTCCTCTCAGCGTCCCTGGTGCCTCCCTCAACTCGCTCTTTCTCAGCCTCATTCATACTTAATATGGCTGCCTACTAAGACGAATATTGTGGTTGTCTGTTTCTCAACCGGCTTCCCTTTCTGCTCTCCCACCCCTCATTGTGTCTCGCTCTGCTGCTCTGCCCCTTCATTATCTTTAGAAGCCGTGAATGAAATGCGCTCTCGCTGCACATTCCTGCGGGATGACCGCTGACCGTGCCAGCTACAGTTAAATACACACACACACACCACACAAGCACCCAAGAAACACACATACACCAACAAAAACAGACACACACGCTCGTCCCCAGAACATGAAGTGAGCTTTCATTGTTAGCCGGTGTGCTTTTGACCCCTCTGTCCTCCCTCGCTGTTGGCTAATTGCGTCTGAGGGGAGGCGTCAGCCCCGGTGACTGCTGGTGTTTCTTTCTTTCTGTTTTTTTTTTGTTTGTTTTTTCCAGAGAGAAACCTAAGGCCTTGTTAAATCACCTCTCACTATCACACAGCCCCTCCCCACCACTGCCATGCTTACCTCCCCGACGTGCCTCGCTCTCCCGGGTCCTCTCTTGTATCCTCTGCACACCTACCAGACAGAAACCTCCGGCCAGCTCAAGGCCCCGATAAGGCTTCACTCAGACCTTGGCGAACAGTCGGATCTCTCTCTGAAGTTTCATTTCCTTGTGCCTCTTTCTTTCTTCATCTCCCTGTGAAGGTGACCCCTTCTAAATGTGTGCGTGCATGCCGTGATGAGAAGTCAGGGTCTAAATGAGGATAGATGGCTGAGTGTCCCTGGCCTCTGCCCACTGCAGAGCAGACTGGGAGGGAGAGATATTGGAAATCGACACCTTGGCTAGATTAATCCCATGGTCCATTTAGCCAGGGATCCGAACAGCAGCGGGAGCTTCTGCTTCTCAATTAAAGAAGGACAATACATGTTGCAGTGCCATTTTTTATTTATTTATTTTGCTTCCTTTGTCGTCCTTTGTGTGTCTGTGTGGATCTGTGGCAGGATAGGGTGTGAGCTGTTTGTGATATTTGATGACAGGCAATCCATTCATAGCTGTGTGTGGTTTTCAGTCCCACGAGCGTCAGGCTCATTCCATTTTACTCCCAAGAGTAAACGCCTTTTTGTTTGTGTTCCTTTTTTTAGTAAATGGGGTGTCGTGGGGAAGCGAGGCAGCCCGACAGAAGAGTCACACCTTTACTTGCCGGATGCTGGTCAAATTTGGCCATGCCCACGGCCCCATGGAGGAGGGGCCTGGAGGGCCACGCTACGAGACCATGCAATGTTTTGCTCTTACCCAACCCAAGGCCATGATCGAGGAGGGCGAAGGTAGGAGGAGCCAGTATATTCACAATAGTGTCTCTACACAGAAATGTGTTTTTCTTAGTTTTTGTCTCAACATCCACTGTTTTGTAGAAACCTCACAAATTTAGAGGCTCACATGCACATTTACAGTCTATTCATATATTTTTCAATGAGACACATCTTATCCCTTATTTTGTGTTTTTGTAAGAGGATCTCTAAAAGAAAGTGGAAAATCAGATATAAGTAAATGAATAATATAGAACATAAATAAAACAATAAAAGGTGAAAATTAATGTTAAATACCAATACTGAATAATCAGCCTCAAACGCACAGAGTGAATATGAAGTATCGTCAAGGCTGATCTCCTTTCGCCTGCAGACCTTCAGTCATGTATGATCTGCGTGGCCCGTCGAGTGACAGCCATGGAGAGGACGGAGAGTTTTAACACCAGGCATGAACTCTCAGGTGAGGAGCTGCGTACTCACTAAACAAACACAGAAGCTCAAACAGGCCGAGATGGTCTTTCTTTACCCACGAACAGGTTTGACTCTTTCTTCTTGCGTCTTCTTGCTTCCTCCCTCCGCGTGCCCTCCTTCTGTCCTGCTTGGCAGGTAAACTGATTCAGATCGACCAGAACTCCCTGCGAGCGTCGATGCGTCCGGGCTGGGAGGATTTGTTGAGGCGTTGCATTCAGATGTTCCTTCAGCACAGCGATGGGCAGCCCTGGTCACACAAACGCCACTATCATGAGGGTGGGTAACGCACGTATAAGGACTTAGTGAATTCATCTCAGTGAAATCCACATTAAAAATATCAGCTGGTAAAGGCTTTATTTAATTAACTGTATATTTATTTATCTTGGTTTTGGTTTTGTTTTTAGTTTATTGTTACTACTTATCTTTTTAGAAAGAAGACTCTTACTTATTTAAACACAAACACCTCCTGCATTACCATCCCAGTACTGATCTCTTGAACAGACGGTTTCATCATATAGGAAGTGATTGATGACCTGTGTTGTGACTTAGGTCATCTTACTCTATCTGTCTGTGCAGCCTTTCTGCAGGGTCACGCAGAGACGCCCTTGTACCGCTTCTCCCTCTCTGACGGCACTCCAGTCACAGCCCAGACCAAGAGTAAGCTGTACCGTCACCCTATGAGCAACGAGCCGCAAGGCTTCATCTCCACGCACCTACTACAGAGGTCAGAAAACTGAAAATACACACACTGCATTCATACTCGGCAAAGTGCATTTCATTTATTGTACTAACAAAAAGGAGCACTTCAAGCATGTCTATGCAAGGCAGCCAAGGTATTCATGCCACATAAATAGCTCAAGTGGGAGCTGAAGTAGCTTTTATATACACCGACATCCTGTGAACAGTGAAAAGAATCCGCAGAGAAGCGAGTATTTTATATGCATTTATCTCAAGTCTACAGTCTGAGAGGTTATTGTGGGAGACAGTGCACTTTCAAGGTATGTGCTTTTTTTCAAAGCTTGTGCTAGTTTTTATTCTACTTCCACACAGGGAGCCGAATGGTTACCGCTCAGCACCAGGTGGGAGCATGATGCCAAACACGATGCGACAGCAGGGCATGGGAGGCCCCAACCCGAATGCCCAAATGAACACCGGTGGCGGAATGGGTATGGGGGGCATGGGGGGCATGAACAGGGGCTTCGGCATGAATGAGCAGGGTCACATGGGTCCGATGGGCGGCGGCTCGATGTATGGAGGAAATGGCGGAGGAGGAAGTGGAGGAGGAGGAGGCATGGGTAACCGCATGATGCAGATGAATCAGATGGGGCACATGAATCAGATGGGTCCTATGAATCACCCAGGCCAAGGCATGCCGCAGCACCAACAGCAGCCCCCGTTTCAGAGCAGTGGCGGCTTTGGCCTCAGTGGCATGAACAGTCCCTCGGGGAGCCCGAGAATGGGCGTTCCTCAGCAGGGTCTCCTGATGTCACCTCGGAACCGGGGAAGCCCAAAAATGGGCTCCAACCAGTTCTCACCTGGAGGTAAGTCTGTTAGCGTCAAGTGTTCAGCATATTTTAATTTACTGAATTCATTGTTGAATCCAGTTAATGTGTGACTCCTCTTTCTGTTCCAGGGTTGCACTCTCCTATGAGTGGCATTGGCAGTAATGGTGGAAGTGGGGGCAGCACCACCACCTTCTCCAGCAGCTCCTTAAATGCCCTACAAGCCATCAGTGAAGGAGTAGGGAGCTCACTCCCCTCTACCCTAACATCTCCTTCTCCGGCCCACAAACCAGACAGCTCTCCCAGCATCCACTCCTCCTCCTCTTCTTCTCAGCCCAGTCAGGCAGCCAAACCAGGCCAGGATGGCTCCAAAAGCCCAGCCGGGGGCTTAGCACCTGGACCCAGCGACCATCACCACCCCATGCACCATCACCACCATCATCAGCATCCTCAGGCTGAGAGTTCCGGAGACCGACCAGATAGCCAGGCAGCAACAGCGACTAAAGACTCTGGAGACGGAAGCAATGAAGCGGGAGCGGCTAACTCCGAACCTCCTCGCAGAGTGCCAGACAGTAAGGGACATAAGAAGCTGCTGCAGTTGCTGACGTCTCCTACAGAGGAGCTGGGAATAGGTGGCAGTGGGCCAACGGGGCCCCCTGTACCGCCCCCTCCGACCAGCAGTAACACTCCTGCGGGCTCAGACAGTAAGGATGCGACGGGAGGCATGACTAGCCCCTCATCAACTGGGGTTACCTCATCCTCTTCGGCCAGTGGAAATTCAGGCCAAGCGACAGGACCAGGGGGCGTGTCAGCATCAATGTCATCAGCCCACTATACTGGCTCGCTGCAAGAGAAGCACAAGATCCTCCACAAGCTGCTGCAGAACGGCAATACGCCAGATGAAGTGGCTAAGATCACAGCTGAGGCTACAGGCAAGGTGTCTCTCGGGGGCCAGGAGGGCGCTGAGGTTGGAACAGGAGGCTCAGGGGCCGGGTCGGGCCCTGGGTTGATCACAGATCCCAAACAGGAGCAGCATAGTCCCAAGAAGGAGAAGACCCATGCCCTCCTCCATTATCTCCTCAACAAGGATGATTCCAAAGAGCCAGCGGATGTTAAGCCCAAACTCGAAGAGCTAGACGGGAAGGGACCTGTGGGGGCTGCTGGCGGCCCACCACGGAGTATCCCTGGATCTGGGCCCGGCCCTGTACCTGAACATCCCGAGAGCAAGATCAAGTCAGAACCACCTGATGATGTAAGATTGACTGTACTGTACTATTGTCGTGACCTGACATTTAGCTTTCCATGAAGATTAATGTTTGATCTTGTCTTGTTGACTTATTGGGTAACTATTTTTATTTTATTTCTTTTTTTAGTTGCACAACCTGGAATCTATCCTGGGAGATCTGAGGAGTTCAAGCTCTGACTTTTACCCCGATCAGGCTGGAGGTGGAGGGGCCAACGACACAGGAAGCAAACCCCCGGGTTGCCTTGACGACAGCCTGCAGGGTGAGTGGTTTACAGATCAAAGCTTATGAGAAGTGACAGACGCAGAGCAGGCGTTATGATATAATATGTGATGATATCAGGATAAAATGCCACTGAAATAGCATCTGAACATCTCATGCTGTCATTCAGAGTTTTCTTGAACTCTTAACGTCTGTGTGGCTGTTTCCCAAACACTTCTCTTCAGCTGTACTGAAGAGGGCTCCTCCTTTGCAGCATTTTGCATGTTGCAACACTGATCCTTTGACAAAACAGTAGCAAAGAGTACAACTTCAGTTTCAAAGCCAAAAAATACAAAAGTGAAGCGAACACTATAATCTCTCTCACTGGAGTTTAGTTTAGACCATATAGAGATTTGTATTCACACGCAGCATCTGACTTTAATAAGCTGTTAAAATGTTTTATATGTCATAGCTGCTGTTTTTGAATCCTGTGAAAAAAGCTTGTATATCCTCGCTCGCTGAATAAATGACGATTAATAAAATGTGAGTGAGTCTAAATCTCTAAAAGTGTTACAAAAGTTGTCTTAAAAAGAAGAAAGAGTAAAACATCCGTCCACTTTCTCAACCGCTTGTCCAGTTTCGGGTTGAAGGCGACTGGAGCCTGTTTAATTTTTAATACTTTCAATATTAACTGCATTATTTTATTAAGTCCCTGTATTTTTTAGTGGTTAGTGGCTCCATAGTGTAGTGGTTTATACATTTGCAGAAGATCCCCGGTTTGATCCCAGGAGGAGACACAAATCCCTTTGGGGTTGCGTCGGGAAGGGCATCTGGCATAAAAACTGAAAGCAGCAGTCAAATCAAATATGTGGAGCTACCCGCTGTGGCAGCCCGCTGTGAGTAACAGAGCAGGGGGAAAATAGCTTAATTTTAGTCATTCGATTCTATTTGATTTTCTGTTGGGTTTCTCTTTATTTTCATTATTTTCTCATTTATTCATTTATGAATCCATAAAAAGAAAGCTTGTGCAACAATGGGATATCAATACTTTTCAAGACAAATATGTTATTATAGGAGCTGTTTTTTCTCATGTCATACATTTACATTTTTATAAAGCACCGAAATCTTTTTATGCTGCTTGTACAGGGAGTCCAGGTATGGGTTCAGGACCCCGGGTGCCCTTCCAGAGGGCCATGTCCATGGATGCAAAGCCTCCTGGTGGGCCTGGAGGAGGCAGACGCCCCATGCTTGTCAAGCAGGAAAACATGATGGGCAGCCCAGACAGCTATCCAGGAAACATGGGTGTGTGGTTATGTGTTTATGGAGCTCAGAATTTATTTACTCCGCACATTTCCTCTCACTCTTTCTCTGCCTCTCAGTTTTTGTGTTCACCAGTTTCTGCCCTTGACTGTATCACAATTTAAATGGATAATATTGAGGACTAAGACTGGGCTAAACTGCTCTGTGTATACTGATACTGATACTGACACACGCATGTGGTGTTTATGTGTTGCCAGGACCAATGAATAGAGGGATGGGTCCTCAGAGATCCCCCATGGGTAGTTCAGGTGAGTGGGGCATGCCCCGCACCAGTGCCAGTCCTGTGGGCTCAGCAGGATATCCACCCATGATGCGCCCGGGCATGGAGTACAACAACAACGGCAAGGGCGTAATGTCAGGGCCCATGGTCAGCCGCTCCAACAGCGTACCAGCCACAAGGTCGATGTTGCAGCAACAGCTCATGGATATGGGTACGTCTGTCATACGGGGCCCAGGCGCCGATGGTGGTAGGGAAATGTTTACAAGCACAGACAGAAGGGTGAAATTTTAGAAATACAAGCCAAGGAGATTGGCAGGTATATTTATACTGTGTTCAGTATCTGTAATGTATATTCATAGTTTAACTTAACTATGAATAAATGAAACTTAACTTTTTGTTTGAATGATAGTGTGAGATGAAAAGTAAAGTAATTACATTTCTTGGGGGAATGTGAATGTTTCCTGCTAGAAACCTTATTAGCAGTTAAGCAGCTGACTGGCTATATAACTATACCCATGTCTTGCTGGTTTAGGAGGTTCTGCTGATATGGGCATGGGTATGAGCCCCTTCAGCCAGCAGGGCCAACCGAACCAGTCGCCCTCCTGGCCGGACACAATGATGGGCATGGAGGGAAGCAGGTCAGTGCAACACCCCTCTGGGTCTCCATTGAATTCTTATGTTCTTATGTTTTATCCTGAACCTTGTGCTGAGTTTCTCTTTTTCTGCGTTTGTTGCAGGCGGCAGTTTGGCAACACCTTAGATGATCTTCTGGTGCCTCCCACCACGAGTGAGGGTCAGAGCGATGAACGGGCGCTTTTGGACCAGCTAGACTCCCTGCTGAACAATACAGATGGCATCGCTTTGGAGGAGATAGACAGAGCTCTGGGCATCCCAGACCTCGTCAGCCAGGTTAGAAAACAATAAAAGGACAACATGTTCACCCATGTGCTCTTCCAGACCTCTCAATATGTGATGTAAAAGGAGAAAAATATCATTGCTTGCATGCGAGTGTAGCATTCATCTTTGCATTTGATATTTCAGTCGTGACTCACCCTGTTCAATCTGTTCCCTTACTGAAAGGTAACAGATGAGCCCAGAGGGATCAGTCTGTGCACTTAGAAAAAGATAATTACAGAGCAAACCAATTGGAAACCAATTGGAAGTTTGACAGACTTCTCTTTCTGTCCTCTTGTCCTATCTCCTCCAGACACAGGGAGCAGAGCAGCAGCTAGAACCTTTTCCAGGGCAGGATCCGTCCATGGTAGTGGACCAGAAGCCTCTCTATGGGCAGGGCTATCCTGGACCTCCTACTATGCCTATGCAGCCTGGCTATGGAGGGAACCCTATGCAGGGTCAGGCCCAGCAGGGGGGATTTGGGCCCATGCTCTCACAAATGGGCCAAGGCGGCAGTTTCCCCGCTATGGGTGGAATGGTGGGCATGGGCCACCCTCGTGCCAACATGATGCGACCCAGGATGATGAGTGCAAACAAACCAATGAGACTCCAGCTGCAACAGAGACTGCAGGGACAACAGGTGTGACCACAAGACCATCATGATTTGTTTTACAGGCAAATTAACTTGGGTCAGATTTGTCCCAGTATTGTAGTTTTTGTGATACAAACAGGATATGCAGTATGTTTAAATTAGAACGACAAACGCAAGTGTACCATTATGCAAATAAAGTCAGTGGTGGTCTTACCTTGGAAAATTGGAAACCTGTATTTGTTGTGGATAGTTTTGTCCATTTTGAAATTTGGAGCTTCCTCGCTCTTGCAGCTTCCCCCTGCAGGCCAAAGACATGCTTGTTAGGTTAACTGGTAACCAAAAGTTGGCCATAGATGTAAATATTAAGTCTGTCTCTCTGTGTTGGAGCTCTGTGTTAATATTTGCTTTTGTCATCTTGTCATCCTGGATTTTTGTTTTTTCCTGAAGTTCATGAATCAGACACGGCAGGGCATGGCCTTGAAAATGGAGAACCCAGGAGGAAACCCTGGCATGAGGCCTGGCATGCAACCTGGCATGGGAGGACAGGTAGATGTCAAAAACCTGTTTGGTTACATCTAAGTGAAAATGGATTTAATGTGACTGCAGTTACCTGTCATACTTTTATTAATGACTAAATAAACACACAAAAAGGTGTTTATGTACCAAGCAAATAGATATAACGGCTGATGCAGTAGCTGTAGAGTTACTGTGTGCAAGCTCAGACCTTTTGTGTGTGCACAGTTTTTTAAATGTGGCACTGTGTTATAATAAATCACCCTTTTTGCATCTTTTTCTTCTTAACCATCGACACAAATTTTGTTAATTTAGCCGCGTGCAGACTTTCAGCCTTAATTTGGGGTTGAAAAAAAGTATTACAGTGACCTCTGATGAGTTGCAGCAATTTTAGACCCAGTCTATTATTGAAGCATTGTTGCAGTTTTCAAGTGCTCTTTAATAGTGTAATTGGCTGTTGTAGTTTAGTAAAATTTAGGAAAATATTATTACATCGTGTCCATTTTCCCATCAGTTTTAACACATTCTTCATCACATATTTTCAGAAAGGTCTAAATATGACTACAGCAGGTGACAGTTCTCCTCTGGAAATGTGATTATCTATTTATTTTCTCCAGCCGAGCTTCTTGAACGCTCAGATGATGGCTCAACGAAGCAGGGAGATGGTCACCATGCAGATGAGGAGGCAACGCATGATGATGCTGATGCAGCAGCAACAGCAACAGCAGGCGGCGGCGGCAGCTGCTGCGGCTGCCGGAGGGTTCAGCCCTCCTCCCAACGTTACAGCTCCTGGCGGTATGGACAACCCTATGGGAGGGCCAACCATGGGCCAGCCGGGCCCCCAGCAGTTTGGCTATGGTGGCAACTATGGTGAGTCTAATTAACTGCTTTCTAGGCAGAATGCTGCTGCTCCCTGGTGGTGAGTGCTGGTACTGTATTTATCAACTGTGCCTTGAACATTACTGGTACCTAAACAATAGTGGAGAGAAGTTGAAGCTTGATGATTTCCCCACAGGGATAGGCCAGCAAGGAGACCCCTCTTTTGGCCCCTCAGGTGGAAGTCCTCCTAATGCCATGATGCCTGGCCGCCTGGGGCCTCAAAATCCCATGATGCAACAGCACCCACAGGGTGGCCCCATGTACCAAGGTGCTGATATGAAAGGCTGGTCACAGGGAGGCATGGGTCGCAACAGGTACGACACATTTACTCCCCTACATCTCGCTGTCAGGAGGAGGGGAGAGGGATGGGCATAGTTTCTGTTCTTCTCTTGTTGAAGAGGAACAGTTTAACTCTTCTTCCTTCTGTCACCAGTTCGTACCCTCAGCAACAGTTTGCGCAGCAGGGACCTCCAGGGCAACAGCAGTTTGGCCAGCAGGGGAATCCAGGGCAGTATGGAGGCATGATGATGAACGGGGGCATGCCGCCTAGTGGAGGAGGAGGTCACATGGGGCAAATGGGTATGAACCCAATGGTGATGGGACGAATGCCGATGGGGCCTGATCAGGTATGTTCAGAGGGTGTGAGAAGCTAAAGAACAGGCTCATATGTGTTAAAGGCTTATTAACTGCTGACTAAAGAAGTCCTCTTATTCATAGTATACATAGTTTTTACAGCACAGGGAAGTGAAGCTTAAACTATAAGCTTATTTTAAACGTATAGAAACATTAATGTCGTCGCTTATGGTTCTCAAACTCTTATAAGTACCTGCAGATCTGACTGACTGCTACAGTTTCTTTGAAGATCCAACTAGAAGTCCCGAGAAGCAAACTGAGCCCAAAATCTTATCTTTGTGCAGATTTCTTAAGCTAAGCTAACTTGATCAAGATGCATGCCTCCACCTTCTTGTTTCTGTAACACAAATAAATCCCAGAGTCCTTTGCACTTTATATGAAAAGGTGTGACGGTCCTCTTTGTTGCATATTTGTCAAAACGGGCTTCTTACCTCCGCTCTTGTATCTCACATACTAGAAAAACATTATATTGTCAAGTCTTAGAATACCTTTGCTCTGTAAGAGTCACAGTCCAGAATTACCTTTATTTATTCATTATTCACAATTTCAACAGGGCAGAAATTAATAAACGGCCACTTTAAATGACAGACACCAATGACTATATATATAAGTATGTAAGTATTTTTTAGGACAGACTTGACTAAACCTGTCGTGTCTCTTTCTAGCAGGTGTTTTGTGGAAAACTTGTTGATTGCACTTCCCTGTCTCACTTTCTCTCTTCTCTGCCTCTGCTGTACGTTTAGAAATACTGCTGAACATCGTGGCAGACTCCTTTGCCTCACTGTGATCACCATTCAGAGACGGCAGACGGCTGCAGCACCGGGTGTGTTGGGCAGACTGGGCGATGTTAGTCTGTGCTGTGCTGTACTCCCACCAGGTGGGGGCGTGAACTTCCCTTTGGACTCGTGGCCAGTACCGTCAGTCTGGCAACCTGCGGAAACACAGACTCTGTCACATACATGAAAACACACAGCGATCATAAAAAACATAAAAAAATCAGAAACACTGTGACTTCTTTACACACAGATACATAACGATGGTCATACAGACACCTTTGCGATTCCTCTAACGGACCTTAGTATAATATCCCCCTCTTTGTGAGCAGTGTGTGCGTGCCCACGCCGAACGCACTCGCCGGACCAAGCGGTGAAGGTGGACGGACGCTCGAGTGAAACCACGTGGACAAACGTGTTGTGACATCCTCTCCTTTGTCGAATGTACCATGAAGCTGTATTCAGATCTGAAAAGATTGCTCTCTCGTTTCTGAACTCTTCGGGACTTTTTTTAATCCGCCGTCTTTCTGCTGCTCCTGGAGAATCTCTGTCAAAGCGGTTCTAGATGACGAGCCGTCAGATTGTGACACTCACACAAATGTGATTAAGCAGTAGCACATTGTTTCATTCCCTGGGACGCCCCTGGGCTAAAGTACGACTGAATTCCTTGTTGGCTGATTGCACTTTAAGGAAAAGCCAACATCAAAAGGATTGTGGCAATATAGAGGCCTTTACCCGAGAATTAACGCATAGCAGCAGACATCTTCTGTTTATTTTTGTGTGCGTTGTTCTTCAGGGTTTCCTATCTAAGAAAAGGCGCTGTTGATTGGAAATGGGTAACCTTGATGCTCTTTGTTCATTAGTGGGAACCAGTAGAAAGGCAGTAAGCACAGATTTGATCCAATACACTCGTATATAGTGTGCGGATTTATTAATATGACAATTTTTAAGCCACTTTAAAGTCACTCTTGGAACAAAGAGTCTTCTATTAAAATTCAAACACTCCACTTATATTTCTACAGAGTCATAAGGTGATCATTTACATTGAGGAGGTGATTTTTAGCTCAAAGTGATTCAGATATTTTGGTTACCTTGCACCCGTTTTCAGTGCTACTAGTAAGTAAATCAAAAATGGATTGCCAGTTATGAAATTATGCCTAGATTACCTAACATTTTAAAAGAAAGTGTTAGATTTGAGTGTAGGTGTGCATATTTCTAGCAATAATCCTTCCTCCTGGTTTTCCTCTGAGGACAAAGCTGAAGCATTGTTTACTCAAAGCGACGGTACTGCAGTATTAGACATGGTGTCTTGTTAGGAGCTTTTCTTTTCCTTTCGTCTGTGAATATGAATTGTAAATATGCTTCAAATGTACTATATATAAATATATATATGCTTTTGTAGGTCACATACTGTTTTTTGCACAGCTTGTAAGGCTTGATATTTAAAAGTGTAATTTTCTTATTCTGTCATGGCTCGGCTTTTATTTTCAATACTTTAACCATCGGTTTGGAAAGGAAGGGCCTCTTTTTGTAAGCAGTACGTGTGACTTTCTTTCATACTGCCACTTTCCCTCTCTCAGAACGCACCTTTATTTTTATTTTGTGATTTCCGAATCAAGAATTTCTCTTTATTTTTCCGAGGACATAGTCTTAGCTAAAGAGGTGCTAGTGGGTTAACTTTTTTTTTTTTTAAGTAAATTATATTTCTTTTAATTAAAACAAAACAATTGCCTATATAAAAAGAGTTGACACATGATTGTGTTAGGCTTCAAGAGGCCCAGATGTCTTACCGGTATGTGAGGTGTGTATTCTCTGTACTTAACCTCAAGCTTCCATTTCTGACTTGTTTTCCCCTCCTGAGGTTTCTGTGCTTTCAGTTTCGTTCAGCCTCATATACGAGACTTTGGAAATCAGTCCCGCTGTGTCCGTAAGCCTGTGCGGTTTGTCCGCAGATATTTAATCATGACGAAAGCAACAAACAGAAGGAAGGAGATTTAAATCCCCTGATTATCTGCCTCTGTCTTGGCAGGGTGTTTTTTAATTTTACATTCAAGTTTTGAACTTTATTTCTGATGTGTTTCCTGTGGAACTTTCTGTTGAGAAATCTACCTTTGAAAACACGCTCAACCCAAAGATTTCTGTTTGTCATTCTGCAGTGCGTAGACACAGTTCCTGATGTAGATTGTGCAAGTACTCATGTGTGCTTTTACTGTTGCACATTACCTATAATATACATTGAGCTGAATATGTTTAATTGCATATATTATATCCCCCATCTGTATGAAATAGAGTAGACATGAGTCTGGTTCTGCTGAGGTGCTTTCGGTTTTTGTTTGTGATCGTTTCTTCCTTTCTGTAGACCTTATGGCCAGTTGAATCGTGGTGCTGCAAATTTCACACAGGAGAATGTTTTTAAGCTGGGAAAGGGAGGCTTCATTCATGATTGATGTCATTTATGTCTCAGAATAATAGCCTGGATTTCTTTTTTTCTAAAACCCTTGTCTCTCGATGAAGAATATGAAAGACTTATCCACAAACATTTCAAACAAAACATCTGTGTTTCTGCTTTAACGGAAAGGAACTCCTCTCAGTGCTTCATTGGAGCTTAAAGAAAAGAGAAAACACATCTGGGAATCATACAGTCATTAATACAGGATGTAAAATACTGTTGCATTTTTCTTACCTTGTTTCTTGATGTTAATATTGATGTAAATACAAATTTATATTTAAACATTACAGTGGCTCTGCTGTGTTTGCTTTTGTGCACGACTCATCAGTCTTCACGCCCTGCAGCAACAATCCAGACTTACAGAAAGCGCTGAAACTGTGTTTCTGCTGCAGTATCTGAGCCTTTCAGGAGCTACAAGTGTATGTTACAAGCAGACGTTCTTCTGGTCCAAGTATTAATGAGACGTGAGTCTGTGTGGAGGAGGGAAGGTGAGTGTGTCTTTGTGTGGATGAGAGCTATCAACATGTAGTAGGGGGTTCGGGCGTTTGGGTGGCCATTCCTCTAAAACAAAAGACGAGAGCTTCTTCTCATTTACGTCTCGCTTTCATCTGCAGGGATGTTTCCTGCAAGAGCCCCGCCGCTCTCTCAAACGTGTGAGCTTTTGTCATGTATCATCCCGCTTTCTTCCCTCATCTTAATTATCCACCCCCACCCTCTAATGAAAGGATCACACACACACATCAGGCAAGGCCATCCGATCCCCACGAGTGCTGCAGCTTCTGTTACTGTACAGAAACTTTAAAAGACTCTATCCGCCTTTTAGAGCTTTAAATAACTTTCACTTGATTGACTTGCTGCTGTGGGGTGACTCATTCACCCTTTTAAATTCTCCAACAACTGCAAGTCTGAAATGCAAAGCATTTTTTAACGTTTCCCTTCAGTTTTAAGGTAACGTAACAATCAATCAGAGCTACGAGGGATTTTATTTATCCCTCGTAGCTCTGAATCATCACACAATCACGCCATCTGTAACCAATAGCCATTTACAATATGTAAGTTTTGTTTTTATTAGATTATTCTCCCACTTCTTATCGATCTATGAACAAAGGAAAAAATCATTCTAACTCCTTAAAAACTCCATAGAATATTTACAGTTTTTACAGCGAGGTCCTTTTTGCCTTTCTGCAAAATATACTACTTCTGATGATTCAGACCTCAGAGGGTTAAATAAATACGCAGTGTTTCAGTTGGAGAAATGGGTGATCAGCAGGTTGGAGATGTGAAGGTCTCCTATACTCTTTATGAAACTTCGTCCACCGGTTAATGATTTCCAGGGGATGACTTCCAGCGCATGCATGTTAATGAAGTTACTCAGAATGGGGAACTATTGGGTGCAGTGAATTGCTTCACAGCGCCGCCAGCACTTCTGTGGAGTGTTAGTTTGGTTCAAACAGTCAGGACAGTTAGAGCTTTTGTAGTGGGTGAGGAACTTGGCATATTTTAGCTTAATCGAGAACAAATTTCCTTAATAGTATTTTATCTCTTGTAAATTATACAGTAGCACCATTTTTGGCTGCTTCACTCGCGGAGGCTGGTTTTGTTAAAACCTTAATTGCGAACTTTAGTTCAAAATAATTCTTCCTTAAAGCCATGCTGTGGGAATCTTGCCATACGAAAAAGTCCAAAGTTTTTTACAAACTGCCGGTTTTATGTGTATTTTTGGTTAATTGTCATTCTCATCACTGTTTTCCTCGCACCAACTTTCTCCGAAGCTTCAAGTCAAACGCATTCTCAGGCGCGCACACGATCCGGTTTTTCCTGGAGACATTTGGTCCCCAAATTATCCGGCTGTTCCGTTTCATCATTTCACTGACCAAGTTGGGGGTTTCCTCTGTGTGTGTGTGTGTGTGTGTGTGTGTGTGTGTGTGTGTGTGTGTGTGTGTGTGTGTGGCGGCAGGGGGTAGGGTGGAGCAGGAGGAGGGATGCGCGGATAGGAAAAGACGCACCGCTCGTCTATTGGACCAGAAACAGAGTGGGCGCATGTAACCGCCTGTCCAAGCCTGGAGACTTTGCCTTTTTTTTCCAGGGACGGGAGACAAGAGGGTCCAAGACAAGTACACATCTAAAAGCGGTATATGTGAGGCAACCGGGGGCTGCGAGTCAAGCCATGGACGCGCTGTTGGCGTTATTATAGGCTGTCGGTGACCACAGAGCGTAAAGTTTCCGCTACTGTCGTGTTGTGTTTTTTGTTTTTTCCTTTGTGTTGCGTTTTTTTTTCTTTATCTTCAAGCCGCATGAGTTCACCGCTGTTTTTAGGTCAGCTGGTCGGGGTTCCGTTAGAGATAATGCACCCCACCATGGAAAAAGACACAACTTACACCAAGATTTTCGTCGGCGGGCTTCCTTATCACACCAACGACGCTTCACTTCGGAAATATTTCGAGACTTTCGGGGACATCGACGAGGCAGTGGTGATCACGGACAAACAGACGGGAAAATCCAGAGGATACGGCTTTGTGAGTCGATCTAAGTTCATCTGCCTTTTCTCTGCTAGAATCAGAGAGCAACTCAACGCATGTAGAGTGAATAAACAAAGCAAAAAAGAGCGTTTAATTAAGGTTTTATCAGCAACTTCCAATCTAATTAAACGGAGGGCGCTTAAAGCACAGTAGCCCACGTCTGTTGTAGCTGCTAATCAGTTTAAAGTGACTTTATCTTAATAGTTAATTACATTATTCTTATGTTTTTCATCGGAACCTTTTTTTAATGTGTGTGTCTCGGGCTTGCACGCTGCAGACACTGCCACTTTGTTCAAGCAGGAGCCATGTGCAGCGTGTCTGGTGGTGACAGTCACATGCCAGAAGCATGAGAAGCAGGTTATAACTTATAAGTGTGTCATCAATTATCTCCACTCTCCCCAAGTACAAATGGAAGCTCGAACAGACACAAAACAAGGACACACACACCCACACAGATACACTTGAGTTGGTAATAAGCTGCTGCAGCTGTGGGCAGATGTCTGTGTCGTCTGTGTGTTTGTGTTTGTGTGTGAGAGTGTGTGTGTGTGTAGGGTGGGGAGACGGGGGTCCCTGGACTCGGAGGTGTGACATGTCAGTTGGCTCTGCAAGATAAGGCTGCAGCAGTTTCATGTTGACTTCCTCCCTCACAGCCCTTCCCCCCTCTGCCAGGTTGGGTTTTGGTTGTTTGTCTGAGTGACTTTGAGTTAATGTGTATTGAACTTCAGATTATCTCTACCTACTGCGCAGCCAATGAGCTGATCAGCTGAAGCAGCCATGTGTTGAGCTCCCCCCCCTCCCTTTTTTGAGAGTTGGGTAGCAGCGTGCTCATTTCATACTTGACGTCTCTTTAGAGGTCTTAATTCTTGAACCACAGCGATCTAAAAACCATTCACTGCTTTATGTTTGCATAAAAGTCCAGAGTCTGATGCTGTAAAATGAAAGCAAGCATAGCTGTTTTACTTTCACTGTTCCACTTACTGGCAGTGGAGCCTGCAGCTGTGGTTCTGCATTGTGGTGTAACTGCACTCTGTGTGTGTGTGTTAACCTGTATCACCCCTTCCCAGTTTCTTTCTGCCCACTCCTCAACTCAGTCCCTCAAGGTAGATTCTAGCATTTCATCCTTGGCAGGCCAGGGTGAAGGAAAAAAAGTCTGCCTCCTACACTTCAACCCACACCAACACAGCTGAAGCTCCACTGGCAGCTTTAAAACACACTCATTTCTCCTTTCATGTAGTGGAGTCAGTGTCCTGTCCTGCAAAAAAAGGAAGAAAAAAAAGATTAAGGAGACGAGGACAGAAGCATCCTTAGGGTCACCCCTCTGTGTTGCTTCATCCGAGTGCTCATGCTGGCATCCAGACTGTAGAGAAGCTTTCATGCGTTGCAGTTTTGTCGGTTTAAGAGATTACATGAGTGGTCTTAATGTGCAATGCTGTGACGCTGTCTACAGGTGACCATGGTGGACAGGGGGGCGGCAGAGCGTGCGTGCAAAGACGCAAACCCCATCATCGACGGCAGGAAGGCCAATGTGAACCTGGCGTACCTGGGGGCGAAACCTCGCAGCTCACAGTCAAGTAAGCATCGTTAATCTGCGTCTATTTTCTTTCTTCAAAAACTCATCAAACAAGAGGTAGCACCGAGCTTCTTTTTAATCAAATGCTATTTGAAGGTTTGAAAAGGTGAGCTTTAAGTGAGTGGTTTTGGTGGTTTGGTGAGTATTTAGAGCAGTGGTTCCCACAACTGGTGCATGCAACCACCGGCAGGGGAAGGACAACCAATAAAAAACGTGAAGTGAAACTCATTTGAATAAGTGTGTTTTTTAACATTTTTTAAAAAACAAAAAACTAATTTGCTGATGCCAGTGTGAAATTCTAATTCGATACTTTTTTATTGGTAAAGATTGATAAAAATTGTGGAGGTTAGACGTGACTTTCTTGACGTTTCAAGTTGGGAATGGCACAAAAAGTTGTAAAAAATGCTTATTTAGAGCAGGGGTCCTGCAACCGCGAGAAACAAAAATCTTAGTTGATTTAAATTTGGCTCTTATCGTGCACCTCTGGATGACTTTGAGTGCTGCTGCTTAAAAAAGTAGAAAATATTGCTTTGTGGAAGTGCAGTTTGGACCACTTGTATTTGCGCATCTGAGATTCACTACTGGCTTAAAAACTTCTTGAATGTTTTTAAGGATTTATGGCACCAAATAAGGTATATGAGGTTTCCACAGTGCACTATCACTAGGCTTATTTAAAAAATATAATTTAGTAATTTGAGGACAGTATGGTCGCGTGTAGGTGAAGACCATCACCTCATAGCAACCAGCCTGCTGAGGCCTGCATGATCTCTCTGTTCTCCAGCATCCTCCCACAGTACAAAGATATGCATGTTGGGTTAATTGGTGATTCACCATAGGCGTGAATGGTTGTCTGTCACCCTGTGGTGGCTCTGTGACAGACTGGCGACCTGTCTCGGATGTACCCTCTCCTACAGCCTTTGACCTTGAATTGGATTAGTGGAAAAAAGGGATATAATGTAGCAAATTGACAGGCAGTGGCTTCTAAAGACTTCAACGTGGAAGAGATAACATGTTTGAGATTTACAGTATAGTAAGCCACAACAAATACTTAGTTTTCTAGATTATATGGGGGTGGGGGCAGAATTAGTCAGTGACAGTAGCACAGGGGAACCTTTCTGAAGCCCATGTAAGTGGCTGACGGTGTTTCATATGCAGTCTCTGCTC